CAATGTTGATTCTTCCCAGCCATGAGCATGGTATGTTTTTCCATTTGTTAACATTTTCAGCTATTTCTTTCCTTAGAGTTTCATAGTTCTCTAATTTTATTTTTCAGTATTTAAAATTATATTAGTTTACTAGAGCTGTCATAGCATAGTATCAGAAGCTGAGCAGCTTAGAATAAAAAGAGATTTATTTTCTCAGAGTTCTGGAGACTGAAGGTTTAAAATCAAGGAGTTGGTAGTGTCGTGTTCCCTCTGAAGGTGTTATGGAAGGATCTACTGAGCTTCTCTGCACGTCTCTGGCAATCACTTGGCTTGTGACTGCCTCACTCCAGTCTTTATATGATTTACTGCTTGTGTATGCACCTGTCTTGAAATTGCTTCTTCATTAATAACCTAATCACATTGGACTAGAAGCCCACCCTGCTCTACGAGGAACTCATTTTAACTAATCATGTCTACAGAGACCCTATTTTCTAGGAAGGCCACATTCTGAGATATTAGAAGGTTAGAACTTTGGTATATAAATTTGGGGGAGGGTACACGATTCAACCCGTAACAAAAATAATTTCCTTAGCATCAGTTTTTAAGAAGGAAATTTTCTTATTGAACACTATATTGATAGACATCATCCAAAAGTTTTTGAAACTTTATTATTATTTCTTCTCTCATCAGCTATACATAGTAGTGTTTGATTCATGGTATTCTCAACAGCCTTGGAATGATCCTTAAAATTAACATACTTAATCTTTGCTAATTTGTCATCATATTAATAATTAGGCATAGTTTTCATAAATTATATATTTTTTCATGCTTATTTACAATTATTGCAGTCTACTTGGTAAAATACTATCTTAAATTTGAACATCTATTCTCGTTTTATATTACAGTTTATAAAATGGGGTTAATTATAAAATAGGTTATTCTGAAGTAAGTAAATGAGTATTTCTATTTTTGCTTGTCTTTTTTACTTTAGTTGTTTTGTATTTAATTATTTAATACATGTGGAACTTGGTGGTGTATGATAAGATGAATGTTACAGATACTTAACAACTGGGTGAGTGGTACTGACTAGTTTGTATTGGTCATCTGCTGTATTTCAGGAATTGGTAGAAGCTAAGAAAAAGAGCTTTAACCAACACACCATCATTAAGGAGCTCCGATACTAGGAGGATTGCAGACCAGGAAATGGACAGAGGATGTGCATTAGTAGAGAGGAATGCAGAGTACACAATGCTCAGCACAAGGACCACAAACCCAGAATAAGTGTGACAGGTTTCCAGGAGTGGGGGGAGTTCTTCAGCTGAGTTTTGTGGATGCCGGGTAGTTAACTAGATGAGGAAATAGAACAGCTGTTTTAGAGCAAGGGAATAGCAAATGCAGAATCACATAGATTTGGAAGAGCATGGAACTTGGAGAATATAATTGTGACTGAAATTTAGGAGGTGAATGAGGAATGATGAGTCGTGAGATGTGGTCGGCATGGATTTGATGTTCTTTCAAGGTGGTATGGTGATGGCTGTTGAGTTTTAAAAAGGAGAGTGGCATAATCATATCTGTATCTAGAAACATTTCGGGGGGAGAATATAGCAGGACGACAAGACAGGAGTCAAAATGAATGAAAATTCCTCATTGATCATTAGTACATACGTATTCAGTGAGTGAATGAATGAGTGAAACCTTGATGAGTTATGTGTTAGCAGATTTAGCAGCTGTGCACTAACAATGACCTTGGAAAGATTATATTTCTTCAGTGGGATGGTCGAAATGGAAGACAGACATGAATAGGAGTCAGTGAAAAAGAATTGCTTCTTCAAAGTATTAGTTATTTGAAATCAGATCTTAGAGTTCATTGTTTTTCAACTACCTATGGCTAGTATATAGGAAATAACATTGTTATTATTATTTTGTTTATGGTTTGAATATATAGTTTCTTTATTTTATTTATCCTAATAGTTTTCTAGGTGATTTTATTTTGTTTTTATTCCTAGATATAAAATTATGATTCTTGAAAATAGTAACAGCCTTTTATCCTACTTTCTAATATTCATATTGTTTATCTTTGTTTAGGGCTTAATATTTTGGCCAGAATTTCCAGAAATGAAATGATTTTTTTCCTCTTAACGATTATGGCAATCCCCTAATATTTTACACATAATTTGATGACTTTTAAAGTAACATATTAAACTTAAGGAAAACCCATTACAATACCATTTAAAGGCTTTAAAACAATTATTGAGAAAGTTTTTAAATATTGTCAAATGACTCTTTGGTATCTATTCAGATATGTATTTTATGATCAACTGATAACATTATGTGAAATTAGTCATTCTGTGATTTAAATCATCCTTGGATTAAAATTTTCTTGGGTATGGTGTATTATTATTCTAAAATGATGCTGAATTTTATGTGCTATATTTTCTACAATATTCTGAAGTATTGATGGCCATAAATTTTTCTCTCATTACTTAACAGGGTACTTACCCCTCTCATTACTTAATAATGTACTTACCCCTTTTACAATATCTCACTAATCCTGAGATATTGTAAAATCTGCACAAAAACACTTAAATGTGGTAACAAGTAATCTATGGTTAAGGAGTCAAGTAAACGAATTCATTTCAGATTTTTATCAGTAAGAGTGATGAGCTACATGACCTTGGGCAAATCTTTTCATATTTCTGGGGCTCATCCATGTAAGCAAGGGGTTTGAAACGACTAAATAAATTCCAAGATCACTCCAGCTCTAGCATTCAGCCAACGTGTTCATGACGAAGTTTCTCCAGCTTTATGCTAATAAAGCTACATAATGGCATTTAAGAGCATCAGTACTGTGTAAGGTAGTAATATATCATGTCCTATCACCCTGCAATATTTAGACTTCTGTTAAAAAAAACCCTCAGGGGTCTGTTCTCACCTATGTGGGTCCATGAGCACTTGGAACTAAAAAGTGTTGGACCTGTGATTTATCTTAAACTGCATTTAAAGACTATGGACCAATCACCCTTCACTGTTCTGTTCAGCTCACTTGAAACATTGGATCTAAAGAACACCAGATGAGTGATCAGAACTGGATTTGTGTACCACTTCTGGCATTCACTAGCTTGGTGATCTTCATCAAGTCACTTGTCCCCTTCAGGCATCGGTTTTCTTATTTGTCAGGTGGCATCAATTTAATTGTTTCTCTCTCAAGATCTAAGATATGAGGATACATATGTAAATAATCCCTTCATAATATGCCTTTAATTATATAGACCCCTGAGGTTTACTTTCACAAATAGTCATCATAATTGGTCCATTCAATGATGTTGTAAGGCAATCAGGCAAAATACTTATGACCTTATTTTAGAGATGGACCAAGACTTTAGAGAATTTGTTAGTTTGCCCAGTGTCCTTGGTAAGTAACAAAGCCCTAGCTTGAGCCCAAGACTTTTAATTCTTCAACGAATTCTTCTCTTTAATATGACATGTTATCTTTCGTTAAATCCCATAATCACCCTATTATACTTTTCAAACATTCTGTGACATCTCTCAGCTCTTTAAGTTATGAGAACCAACTATCCCTGTTTCCTGGGGGTTCAGCCTTAAAGCTCTATGATTTTAAACAATGTAACATGTTAACACTTTGTTCATGTGTATGTTTAAATGATTTTTTTAAAAACTACTTCATCTAACATCTATCCCTTCTTTTCCTGATTCTCTTTCAGATAGCAGTTCTGTGGATGAAAAGGTTTTAAATCATGCTTTTTCTTCCCCTCATGAGGGATCTTTGTCTTCTGTCCATGTTTGTTTGTGACATACTAGACCTGTTTTAGTTCCTCTATTTTAGTTGTGAAATGTGCATGTTATCCCAGCTTTCCATTCTTTGGTTGTCCTCTAAGTGTGCTCTTGATATGTTGCGTTTATGAAGAGGTCACACCTTGCTGGCTTCGCTTCTGTTAGCTTACACTTGCCAACCTGGGGGTCTGCTGCGGTCAAACACAGCATCTGTTCTCAAGTCTGGCTAACCATGCCCTTCCTGACGGATTCATGATCTTCACTGCACCTATCAACTTTTAAGGGCAAATAGTATTTGGAATATGATATATTTTTCTGGACTCTGCCAGTGCTTTTGGGTAAATGCTGAAAGCTAATTTCAAAACTTCCACTCATAAAAACACGGTAGCTTTGACTTGGAGCGGACCCTGCTTAGCATCTGTCATACGAGGTGTTACGTGTGCAGTGCAGTTGACTCGTGTTCCAGATTCACGTACGTACAGCTGAGGTGTGCTAAAAGCCTGTTTGCTTTGTTTTTTCTCCTTCTTTTAAGGCTCGAATAGTAAGTGGCAATGGTTTGGATGCTTCCAAATTCCCTGCACTCCAGGTGTGTGGTGGGTAAGTACATCCCTGACCTTTCTAATTCATTTTGTTCCTTGATCACACTTGGCTGTGCTCTCAACATATTCGTGTGGAATTCAGGATGTTGCATGATGTTATAATCAGCTAGCCTCACTGTTGCCTTTTGTTTTCACAATAAAGTATCTTTTATTTATAATATTTTCTTTAAAAATAATGAGAGATGTGGTTATGATCCAAAACTAGCAATATGAATATATAATTAATGCATAATTATACATGGATATATGTAAGTCAAAATTACCTAACCCCTTTAACTGTTACCATTATCATTCTACATACAAATGCAACCACATGATATTATATACATTAATATTAATATAATTATTGTACTGTATGTTTTGTATCACTTTGTGATTTGTGCACGAGCTTTGTTCACGTCAATCACTTACTGAACATATATTATAGCATTATTTTTCATAGTTGCATACTATTACATTTAATGGATTTATCAAAGTATTTAAATTTAATCGCAAACATAGAGTTTGAATTCTGTTCTTCATGGAAAATACTGAAGGAACGTCCTCTTTCATGCTAAAAGTTACAAACTTGTATCACTTGGACATGAATATTCATCAGCCTTTTTCTGTGTGCTTACATATGTTTATATAAGATATAATTATGCTTATATAAGGTAAGTAATTTTGCATTGTGACTGCTGTACAGCTTAACATAAATTAAGTCATTCTGTATGTAAATAATAAGTACTGGTTTAATGCTGGTTTATAATTGTTTCCTACATAATGACTCATTTAATCCTTACAGTGGCCCTATGAGGTAAGTACTATTTTGATCTTTGTTTTACATATGAGGAAACCAAGTGAAAAGCACTGGAAAATGTTTTCCTTAGGATAGCTAATGAGTGGCAAAGCCAGTATTTGAGTGCAGTTGGTCTAATTCCTGAGTCTGTGATCTTAATCGGAATGTCATATTTCCTCTGCTTCTTGCTTGTGCTCTATTTTCTAGTCTCTTCTTCCATGCCTTGCAAAACGTTCCCATTCATTATTTCTAAATGAGGCCAAAATCTTCAAATGTTTATGTAATATTTATTCATTCTTCTATTGCTGACCTTTCAAAATTATCTCTGTGTCATTGTAAATAATACTGTAGGGAACATCTCATAATAAAGTTTTTGAAGTGTCATTTGTGGAACAGAGGTCATGCATGGTTTATATGTATGCACATATACATCTGTATACAAATAGGTATATACTAGATGTTTTATAAGTATTGAGATTTACATTTGTGTACAATGTAAAGAGAAGCAAAATTTAAATGTATCTTTAGTTATTTTTAGGCAAAAGGTTTCAAGTTCTGTGTTATAATACTCTCATGTTTTAAAAATGAATTGTTAAATACATCTGTTACTTATGTTACATTTGAGGCTCCTGCAAAATAATATATATGAATCATTTTTATTTTTATTTTCTCAAGTGATTAAGGTGTTATTTCTATTATATCTATAATTTCAATGTTCTTAAAATAAATACGTTAAAAATTGCTCACATTCCTATTCTAATGTCATAGGAATTTAAATAAATTATAAAACTCAGCTGTGGTAGAAGATATTCATGAATTATCCATGGAAATTTAGATAATAAACAGACTCCTCTCTCTCCACTACCCTGTATACAGTATGGCTTTAAGTTTACTAAAAATAATAACTTGGCCAATTAAATAAAATAATTACCTTAGAAAATAAAGTTGTATTCTAATTTAATTAAAAAATATATTAGAACATAGTGTCATGAGCCTGGAGGTTTATGTTGGTTCATGGTCTTACAGCTTCTGCAACTGGTCATTACCCACAGTATTGATCACATTTTAACAGTTTCATTTCCTAACTCATGTCTGAAGATGGACTTTCATCCTTGTCAAAGCAACAGAATTAATCCACATCCATGTTTTTGTTAACTGCATGTAACGTAAATATCTAGCTAACATGGGTCATCTTTGCATTTTGAGTAGATACTAGATACTTTCGATATATATATTTTTTCAGAAACTGCCTCTTTCAAGGACCTTCCAAGGGATTTTTGAATTATAATATTATGGGGAGGGAGTGGTAATTTTCAATTATCAAGAGAATTTGTCATTGTCTGAATGCTAATTTCCTCTCTAAGAACCTACACGGTATAATTTACATATGAGCCTTCAATCACAAGCTCTTTCAGAAGGATTTGCTTACTTTACTTTCCCTATAAATATTTTAAAAATGTATTTTTAATAAAATGAAATAGTGCTATACTTCCTCTCAATATCACATCTTCAGCTATTCTGAAAAACTAAGACTGGAGAAGTATTTCAAAAGAGGAGGTCCTTGTTTTTCCATGACAATGCTAATACATGCTTCATGGTTCTGTCTTCAACATCCCTCATTGTTCAGAACCAAACAACTTTCATCCTTCCCCCCCTTCTCCAGAATCAATGAAGAATCATCTGTACACCCTGAAGCTTTCTGATTTCTACTCAACTGTCTGTACACTTCCTGTCTTTGTTGTAAATACATGCCAAATTTCATTCTGTTTTTCCCTACCATCACAACAAAACTTCATTAGCCCTGGGGAAGGAATTGGGAGAACAAGAGAGAAAAGGTAAATAGAAAAAGAAAATAAAGAGGGAGAAGCCTGGAAAAAAATGCATATTTTGGTGAAATCAACAAATTTAGCGTTTTATACTTTTTAGTCACTTTATAAAACTTTGATAACTTTTGTAATATATGTAAGCTGAGAGTCACATATAAACCATATGCCAAGACAGTATTAGGAGTACCAGAGGGTGGGCAGCACCTGTGGTTCAGTGGGTAGGGTGCCAGCCCCATATACTGAGGGTGGTGGATTCGAACCAGATCCTGGCCAAACTGCAAGAAAAAAATAGCCGGGCACTGTGGCAGGTGCCTGTAGTCCCAGCTACTCGGAGGTGAAGGCAAGAGAATCGCCTAAGCTGCCAGCATTTTTTTTTTTTTTTAAAGTATCAGAGGGTTACTGAGGGCAAGTGTCTCAAAGATGAAATTGAGAGAGCAGGAGTGAGAAGAGCCTCTTCTGTATTCTCGCTTGTGCCATTCCTATAGTCTGTATTAGTTCCTCACGTTGTACAAATTTAACAAGATTCTTATCCTGCAACTCAATTTTAAGCTCTAAAGGAGCTGAAAGGAATTCAGCTTGCTTAAACCATGAAAAAAGGAACAACCCAATATGTCTTGACTGGTGTCAGACAACCTCTTACTTGAGAACACTGACAGCAATAAAGCCACCAGCTTTCTGGAAGCTGTGAAGCAAGAATAAGTTCTTGAACCATTAGCTTTCTATGGCCAAGGTTACCACCTAGCCACCCATCTCATTGTGGCCGACCACCAGATCTGAAGATCAAGAGAACGTTCTCCTGGAGATTGCTCAAGAGCACTTGCTATCTTCTCTATTTAGAAAGACATTGGGCTAATGAGAGTACATTTTGATACTAGCCACAGAAACTAGACCTTAGGCTGACTGCTTCAGTACATGGATTGATGAGATCACTACGACCTGGACCTCTTTAGTAGGAAATGCACTTTGGCACGTTATCTGTGGAAATTAAGGTAAAATTTACTATCTATAATCTGACTCAATCCTATGAATACCATAGTTTCCTTGGGGTAGATTATTAATAATTTAAGTACATCTTTTCCTAAATAGATAGTGCAACAATTCATGAAACTGGTTCAAAAAATTAAGAAAATGGAATTGTCACATTCCAGCTACTAATAGTTCATAGTTCACCAAGTTATACCTGGGTATCTTTTTTATGATCTCATTTTCTGGCCTGAGTTTGTAGCTTAACATTCTTTCTTGCTCTGCAATAGGCCCTGAACCCAGAAAGGACGCCTGGGTGTTACTCACAGTTGATCCAGTAACACCGTATAAGACTCTTTCCCTTCCAATCCTCTGGTCACATTAGAGAATATATTCCTCCCTCTTGACGGACGTACGAAAAACTGCTATTTATTCTAATAGAGGTCATCTTGGGTGTTTAGGAGACAGGAAATTCCTTCCCCAAATTGCATTTTTACTTTCATTATTAATTGTATTGAAGAATGTAAAACCTCAGTGTAATCCTGATTGTAAGCAAGGACAAATTCACATTTTACTCATGAAGGGCACTGTTTTATTCTTAAGGAAGATTGGTATCTATTTTAGATTCAGAGAGTTAATAGGACCTCATATCCATATCAACCCAAGATGCAGATAACAGGCCCATTTCAGGGAAGGACTTGACAACTTTCTTGCCAGTTTCTGCCTGGCATTGGACCCTTCCGTAACTCATATACATGGCACCAGTTGGCTCTCAGAATGGACCTGCTTTTCCTTTCATCTTTAGGTGACTCCTGATCAAAAAACATACTCAATAAGAAATTTACCTTTTCCTACTTTCTATAAGCCTCTAACTCTACCTCCTGGTATTTGAGATATCCTTTAAAATACTCCCAAATCATGTACTTTCAAGAGACTAGCATTTGGTAAGTCCATCTCACTTTTAGTGACTTAAATTGTCTCATACGTCCAAGGCCTATTTTTTTCTCAATTTAGAAAACTAAGACCACCAACATAAGCTTAAGCACAGTGCTACTTTTGTCTTCTCCCCCTTCTGTCTCTCATTCAGGATTTCATTTTTCACTCCAGTGTCTATATCAAAAAGCTACAAATACATCTTAAGCCAGTGCTAGTCATATTCTCTTCTGGCCTTTGAGCATCACAGGGGGACCCACTTAATATAGCAGCTACTGAGAATGATCCAGTCTCAGAAAAATAAAATTCCTTGGCTCAGCTCCTGTAGCTCAGTGAGTAGGGCGCCAGCTATATACACTGAAGCTGGCGTGTTCGAGCCTGGTCCAGGTCTGCTAAACAAAAATGACAACTGCAACCAAAAAATAGCTGGGTGTTGTGGCAGGCACCTATAGTCCTAGTTACCTGGGAGGCTGAGGCAAGAGAATCACTTAAGCACAA